CTTTTCAATCTTCTGAATTCCTTGCATAATCATCTCTAATGTCACTTCCTTCTCTTTCTCCTGTTGTAAGATTGTCTGTATTGACCATTGTCCTCCAGATGGTGAAGAGGCTATTGGTATTGAGGAAGCTGGGGCTGTTGTCTTTCTGCTCATCTTGTAGTGCTTACCTGTAGAGAGGGAGAGAGAAAAAAGAGAAAAGGAAAAAGGAAAAAAAAAGGAGCGCAGCAAGCAATTGCCACTTCAAAAAATAAAAAGGGAAAAAGAAAAATCTTCAAGCACTTACGTACCTTAATCCAATTATTCCTCTTAATAAAAAGAGAAAAAAGGAAGAGGATAAAAAAGTAAAAAATTTACATTCTAATTTATGGAATAGAAGGTTGAAATCCAAATATAAAAATCCAGCTGGGGGGGAGTAAAAAAGGAGATGAAAATAACCTAAAGTTAGGCCAGCCACTGCCACTGAGTATCCAAGGCTCTTTAATAAATCAACTCAATGTTTCTAGTTCCAATATTTTCAAGGTCACTTCAATCTTCTTTCTTTCAACTTCAACTCGAAGCTCTAATTATTTATAGTTTCACAGATGGGCACCTGCACAAACGATCTGCAATGCTCATCCCACTATCTTTTCCAGTGCAAAGCTCAGAGTCCTTGAGTATAGCACAAGTACATAAACAAACAGAGAAAAGAAAGAAACAATATATCCAAGCCTCTAGATGGCAGCGCTACTTTTTTTTCCCTTCACTTTCACCCCCCCCCCCCCCAATTAACCAAAACCAGAAAAAAAAAAAAAAAAAAAAAACCCCTTCCTTTTTTAAAAAAAAAAAACAAGTAAAACTCAAATCCAAAAGAAGAGCCTTAATCAAAACAGACTTTCAAAAAATAAAAACAAAGATGGAAAATTTAAAAGAAACCAGTCCAGTTTAAAATTCAATAGCTTTACCAAATTCAAAGTTCCGATAAAAAGGGGGAAAAACTTTCACTTTAACTAGCTTAATTTCACCGCTTAAACTCTTTTCTCTTCACTTTTAATTTCACTTTAAATCTTTCAGGGTGTTCTCTTCAAGCAATAATAAGTAAAAATTCATCTCACCAAACTGACACATTTTCCTTCAATCTCTTCCGTTCCGGAGCTGTCCCAGCTTCAGCAGCTTGAATGGCTGCCTCTCCGCCACCGGCAAAAGGGCTTTTCCTGGATTGACCAGGGACTTTGTGATGTCCCTGGGATCGACAGGACGTGCCCTAATCAATCACTGTCTCTACAGGATGGTTTAGGTCCATCAGGACCATGCAGCAGTGGAGATATCGACGGCGATCTTGGAGGATCAAGATCGCACGTCATACCGCCGTGACATCAGCTCCGCCCTCCCTCCGGAAATGTCCCATTTCTTCTGTGGACTGAATTGTCTCTTATCTGACCATTGTCCTGGCTGTAGTTCTTCTTCCTCCTGGCTCTGAAGGTGATTCTCACAGGCCATAACATCTACCCATTAGCTCAATTGTGGCATGGAGAACAAGATTAAAACTTAAACCATCTTAAACAATTTACAGACTATTGCACATTTTATTTACATTGCATCTTCCTTTTTCCATTTTTACTTTAAAGTGTTGATCTTTTGCCTTGGTGTATCTTAGGAAGACAGCTTTGCAAATATTGTAAGACGAAAGTATTTGTTACAAAAGCTAGGTATTTACAAGAAGAAGTCAAATGGAATGTAGGTTGTCCAATGTAAACAAACTCTTTGGGACTAGAAAATACGCATCATGGAATACTGGTGAAACTCAAATTGTCTATATTTAATTCTGTAACAAAATTCTTATTATGCATTCTTTTTATTTAAAATTTCCCCACTGGTTGTCATGAAAACTTTGCACTTCTGTCTTGGAAAGGCCCAAGCATGAATGATGTTTTATATTCTTTCAGTTAACCACAACAACCTCTTGTTGGGAAATATTTTTGAAGTCAATTTTTAAAAAATCCTTAGAATCAACAGATTCTGGTATTTTGCAATACCCAAACTTCTGGAAGTTTCCTGATATTTTACAATTGTTTATTAATTCCATACTTAGCTTTTGACGCAAATTTAAACAACTTTATGCTTATCAACATTACCAATTTAGAAATCATAGTTAATATTGATATAAACTTATTTTTATCTGTAAAGGTTTGAATTTTTTAAACATTGGAGTATTAATAATCTCCAGTCAACACTGAATAAATACCACTGATCCCAAATAATATAATATATTACTTATGTCTTTTAATAGTACAATAAACAATATAAAGGAAAACTCCAGTTTCCCATTCCATGCAGGAATACAATTTAAACATTCACAATATCCTCTCATTAAAAGTATTCCAGTGAAGTAAAGGCTATCAACCAGAGTAATTAATTCTGCTACTAAATGACTTATGTTTTTCCTAACATAATCTGCCTTTCTATAACTGAAATTTCATTGTACAAAGGAATAGTTTTCTTCCACTAAAACATAGTGAAGAAACTTTGCAAATTTTCCTAATATGTTGGACGAACTCATACAATCTTCCATTTTCATGCTATAATCCAAATTAGAATACACACAAAAAATAGTTTCCAGCCTCTGATTGATTGCATTCCACTGTAGAAAACCCATAACTTCTTTGATTTATTAATACCACTATCAAACAATTATAATTATTTTTAAACAAAACCTGTGAATGTTAGCCATTATTCTAGGTCCTGTCCTTTCTTAGTTTTGTCCTGTTTGGTACCCTTTAAGATACTTTGAAGTGTTCTAACATATTGTCTCAGTTTTAACTTTTCAAAATTAATATTGCTTAAGTTTTCCTTCATTCAACTTGAGAGCTAGTTTTAGGTGTCCTGATTATACTCATTGCTTCCTCTGAAAATGCACAGTTTGTTGAACTCTTTCTTTAAGAGAAGTAGTCAATTCCTTATACATTTTCATGAGCTGAATATGCTTTACATAAAATTTTTGAACCTGTTATATATCTACTTACATGTAATCTGTTTCCTAGTAAGGGACAGTGTTAATCCAGTATGACTTGTTCTTAACAAATGCATATTGGCTTTTTGTAACCCTTGGTTTCAATATGCTTTGCTGACCATCATGATCATCTATTGATGCCCAACTCTATTTTTCTGTGTCCCCCCGTTTCCCCAATTTTGAGGACAAGCAAAATATTTGAATTCCTCACATCTGACACATCAGCTTTTGTTTAGGATTCATCAAAGGTACAGTAATAAAATTTCAGCTGGACCATCAGCAAGTTCCCACAATACCATATCAGCAATTCATCTGGCTCTAAATTTTAAAACTCATTCAGGGTTAGTTCAATTTGCTGATTCTGCTTCTGTTATTCTCGAGTTTCAATCATGCCTCTATGTTCTGCTCTTCACAATTGCCTAGTAAAAGACATATTTTCTTGGTGAAGAACATCAAATTAAACTGGAGTTTGAGTAGTTTTCTGTTAAGCAGCCCCATACTTTTTTTCCCCTTTTCCATTTCTCTTCTTACCTCATGCTTCTTCTGTGTTGCCACATTTCATTTCAACTCCCCATATCCACCTATCTCCCTCCTCCAGGGGAAAATACTTATGGCTCAGCACATGTGGCAGTACGTGGGCATCATTGTGGGCGCTGGCATAGCTAATCAGTCAAAGTCTTCTTGCAGGGTATCTAGTACCAGTGGCCCTTCAGGACATTGGTAATGGCAGATGAGTTACAAACATTGCCAGCCAAGGCAGCAGGTGCCCTCAACACCTCACTCAAGACTTAAAAGCTTACTCCATAGTACTTCTCTGTTTACCATATCAAATGCTGCTGTGAGGTCTATAAAAGCAGCAAACCTTTATTATATGTGAAGTCAGTTTTGTCTTTTATTTGCCTTTCCTTTTTGGTCTAATTTCCTTTACTGCTCTAATACAATTTTGTCTTCCTTCCTTCCTTAATTCTGAGCATTTGCCCAAGCATCATCATCATTACTGCTATCATTACTATTATTATTTCATGGAGGAACTCAACCATCTCTAAGGTGTTGTAAGTCTTGACTGCAAAGTACTGTCTATTTAACTTCAATTTTGTTTATCAAATCACTACTTTCAGGTTAATGAAGCAATGTTCCATGTGAGGAAAAGTTCATTTGCCACCTCCTGCTACTGAATTTTCACCCCAGGACTCAGTCTCCCTTGCCATTTATTCAAAAACTGGCTGCTTTATATTTCTTCTGGACTCCCTGCAGCAGCCCAAACTCATTTAGCAGGGAGCAGTCATTCAGGTCTCTCAACAATGGGAATTAAGATACATTCCTTGTAATCAATAGCCATTAAGGAGATTAGGTTCCTTCTCCTCCTTGTCTTTTTCCCTGTTGAATACCATTGCTGATCATCTGTTTGCTCTTCTTCTTCACACTCTTACTTATTTCAATAAATATTGAAAACTTTGTTTCAATTCATTCCTTTGGATTCAAAAAGAAAAAAACAGGAAGTAGTCTAAAAATAATTTAGCCTAATCACGTTTCAAATATTACCATAGAATCCCGTAGTTGGCAGGAACGGGTGGACGCCATCTTCATGCCATCCTGAGCAACTAGCAGTTCAATCTTTTCTTGAAAACTCCCAAAATGAAACATCACAATTTCAGGAGGCAGGCTATGAAATTTTAAAAATTAGCATGCAATGATAAAATAGTCCCATGTTTGTTTCAAAATTACCTCAGCTGTTTTACCACATATGCACATTTATCATTTGAATGTAACTGTATTCCTACAGAATGGCAAGTAGGGGTGCTTATCTTAACATTTAGCCATTGTTGTAACTTTATTATTTTTTATCTATTTGGTTAAATTGGATTTAATTTTTTTCTTGTTTTTTAATATCCTTAGATTCCCTAAAGAATAGCAACATTCATATATTCCCAATTCTAGCAGAACATTTCATACCTAGGAAGAGGAACAAAAACATAAGATTTGACACTAACTTGCTTTTGCTTTGAATTGATAGCATCAACATCTGGAGGAACAGGCCTGGGTGGGACTACCACAGTCACAACAAGCAGAGCTATTACAAGCAGCACTGTACACACAACCACTGTATCAGCTCTGGGTAGAAGGAACAGAAGCACAACTACACTTTCTCCAGCTTTGGATAGTCTGAATGAAATGACAACACATCTGCCACCTGCCTCTTCCCAGCTGCCTGCAGTTGGTGCAGAGAGTTGTGAAACCGTGGAAGCTCGTGAAATCATGTGGTTCAAGACCAGACAAGGACAGGTGGCTAAGCAGCCATGCCCAAAAGGCACTGTGGGTAAGCCCTAGCCGGATGCTATTTCTTTTCTCTTTTAAGACATTTAAGCAGGAGTTATTTAATGTTAAACAAATAACAGGGTATCAAAGTTTTGCTTGTCCTTCACCTTCTTACTGTCTTTGCAAAATGATCTGTGTGGAGGTTTAAAAAAACACATTAGCATCAAAAGGCCTTTGTTATGTTTGTTAATCACCTTTTCAACAATGATTGTCCCTGGATTCTGAAATGATTTAAGGGAATTTCCTCTGCCTTGATCTGTTTTTTTGCAAAAATCCTAATTTCCATGTGAGATGGTAAGATGAAAAAAAAAAAGAAACTTCCTAATGTCCCCTCTTATTTATTTATTAGATTTTTATCCTGCCTTTATTATTTTATAAATAACTCAAGGCAGTGAACATATATAATCCTCTTTCCTCCTATTTTCTCCACAGCAACAACCCTGTGAGGTGATTTGGACTAACAGAGTGACTGTTCCAAAGTCATCCAGCTGGCTTTTGATACAGATCCTAACAAGCTCCCTAACTTTCTCATTGAAATTGGCAGGATAGTGTATGGAATGCCAGCCCATGAATCAAATTAAATCAATTTTTATTGCACCCCTTTAGCAGTACAAAGCAAATATAACAGTATGCCCAAAGATGAAAGAAAATGTAGATAAAAAGCTTCACTCAGCAATAGGCCTAAGGATAAAACTAAAGGATTAAAATGAATAACAGAGAGTGTAAGACCATTTTAGCTAAAAGAACATTTAAAAATTAAAACCGTCATTGAGTGATTTTGATTTTTTTTAAAGAAAGAACTTAATTCTTAACTTAGAGTTAGACCACGTCTAGCTGACTATTAACCAGAGCTCCAGGGATGTTTAGTTATTTTCTTATTTTAAATACAGTCAGTAGAACTTGGCTATGGCAACTATCACAGAGTGCCTGAAAGAGTGCAACATTTTCTGATAATATTGATGGTGGAACATCCCATTTCAAGGTGCCTTTTTGGACCTTGGTGAAATAAGAATATCTATCCTCCATATATTCTTGTTGCCTACATTTTAAAGATTGTTTCAGTTCAGAATGCTGATGGATCAGGCCAATGAAAATAGATTTTCATGGCACAAAGGCTTCCCTTAGTATAGAAAATAGTTGCCTGAATTTTAATAGAGGCATCTGAAACTAATAAAGAGGAATGTTACTTGCATATTAATTGAAAGTATTAGTGCTTAACAGAGTTGCTTGTTTGGTAAGATGGGCAGCTGGAAAAATTAAATAAAAAAAATAGAACAAATAAAGTCAATAATACATGTTAAGGAACACTTGTTTTCAGTGTAATGTCCTTTTTGATTATCCTTTGAATAACATTTATGTTGGCAATGATTTAATTTGCTCTGGTATTATATCAGTTAGGCAGTCTATTAATAAGAGGTTGTTTTATAATTTTGTTATATAGTATGACATTGTAGCATAACAAGGTTGTTATGCATTTTATGTATTACCATGATATTTTATAATAGTGTGACCTAAATATATTGTTGAACATGTCAGTTCATTAACAAGCTATAGTATTAATTTTGAATACCTATTTTCCATTGGATTGGAATTAAAAGATCAGAGACAGTACTTGCTTTTAAGATCCAAATCAGTAAATTGGAATCAGAACACAGCTGCTCCTGTGTTCTAACGTAACAGTGTGTGAAAGACTAGAAGATGGAAGGCAAATTATTTTGTTCATCATTTCTCCCTATGTTCAGAATATATATATGAAGCAGTAAGATTCAGAATTAAGATGCTCTGCTGTACTTTAATAGAGTCAGTGATTATATTTTTAAAAATACTGTAATTAGTGCAGTTATTAAGTAGCTATTTGAGGGTTGTTGTTTTTTCCATGAAAAAATATTTTTGAATTCTTAATGTTTTCATGTAAATGTAAAGATTGGCATGCAGAATTATTTTCAATTTGTTTTCCCCACAATTTCAATTATGGGAAATCATCCCTGTTTGGCTTCTGGCGTATCAAGTGCCCCTATATGCAGTTTTTCTTAAGAGTATATCAGCTATGAAAGTCTAAGGCTTTATTTATAGTATCTAAGGGTGAGGCATTTTTAAAAGTTATCCTTGCCATAAAATAATGTGGATTGAGAGCACTCCTTTTGCCTTTCATTTAGAAACAAGGGATTTTTTAAAAGAAAAAAAGGCTTCAGTTTCATCTAAATTTAAGTTAAATAAAAATTCATTTCACAGAAAGTCTTTCATAAGATCATCCATCATATGAAGGTGGAGGTTCATTCTCCGGGCATTTGAGTTGGTTTCTGAAACATCTTCAGTGGAATTTAGGGAATGTCAATGTCGGTATTCTGCTTATAAGGCTTCATGCAGTCAGTAGGTCTTGTGATGGTGAGGTCACATCAGGTGAGGGTTACATCAGGCCAGGGTCTTGTGATAGGTCTTGTGGTGGATCATATGTGGGTATGTCAAGTGAGGGTCTTGTGGTGGGTCAGATGTAGGTCACGAGTGAGAGTCTTGTGATGGGGAGGTTGTGTCAGGTGAGGTTCATTGCTGGTTGGGGGGCTTGCGTGGCTTTGTTGAAGGTCAGTGCTGTCTCTGGTTGGTTGTGTGGTTGATTTGAATTCTGAGGGGTTCATAGGCTGGTTGTAGGTCAATGTATCTGTTGATGGAATTGCTTGTGGTATGCCAGGCTTCAATGAACTCACAAGCAAGTGATAGTGTGGCCAATGATTCTTGTATTGCTCCAATCAAACTGGTCCCATCATATATTTAGTAATTTCTCCTTTTGGTCACATTAGACCCTGTAATTCCATGGTTGTTTTTTCAAGCTCTGGGAGCTGCCTCCAAGAATTCAAAACCTGTGTCGAATTCTGGACTTCAGAGTAGTGTTCTGTGCCAGAATGTTTATTTTGCATTATCTCAGTGATAGCATGAGTTTTCAACCCAGATAATTATATCAGAAATCTAGATATATAGGAACAAAACAAAGTTTGTTTTCTCAATCACAGTGATATCTTTCTAAGGTATAAGTTAATGCATGAACTAGGAGGAAAAGAATTCTCTTCTTCAAAAAGTCATCTTATTTGATTATTAATTCAAGCATGACATTGTATTATAATTTCAGGTGTTTCGACATTCCTTTGCCTTGCTCCTGGTGGAAACTGGGATCCTCAAGGGCCAGACCTCAGCAATTGTTCCTCACTTTGGGTCAACCACATCACTCAGAAGGTAACTGTTCACTTAGACTTGATATATTTGTGCTAACAGTGTATGTTACAGTCATTCTGCATTCATTTAAAAACAAGATTTTGTAATCAAAACTTTGACTAAATCAAAGCAAACTACTCTATGCAGCAAAATAAAAAGCTGTGGAGAACTATGTCAGACAAAGGTATAAAAAAGGCTGAAGATCAGTTCAGCACGACTTACCTTAAGTTAGAGATTGACTCAAGGACTCCATGAGAATAATCAGAAATGTAAATCTTTGTAACTTAAAACTTTTAGATATCCTAAAATCTTTTAGAAGAAATGTTTTATTATGTAAAAAAAATAGAATGTAACACATGGATGAAAATGCAAAAAAAATACTTTCAGATTTTACTAGTATGGATGTTAGCTGGAGAATGTATTTATTATAACCACTAGTCACAATGCACCTATGCAACATTTCAGGAGCACATGAAATAATGTCAAAAATAAGTACTTTGTGCTGTTCCTACATTTTATTGCCCTTTGATATCATAGTTTATTACTTTTCTTTTAGTTTTCTTCACGGTAAAAAAAAAGATTGTGTCTGATATCTTACTCTCTCAGCATAAAATTTCATGCATTTCATGAAGTGAAATATGACTAAATAAGGACATGTTTACAGTTTCAGTTCTAGCTTCGTTTGGATATTTTCCCATACTCTGTCCTGTAGGAATGGAGGAATGGAATTGTCCCCATTAAAGTACCTTCAGTTTCAAAGAATTGCATTATATTAAGTAATCTAATCTTTTCAGGAAATAGATTGAAATGTCATTTAATTACTCAATTTTAAAATGTTATGATTGCTAGTTTCACATTATAAAATGGGTAAAGACTTTCTTTTTCAAGTTTTACAAAATTGCTAAAAACTATTTGTAACAGAATAACAGTTATTTGTGAAATAAACCAAGCAGAAGTTCTTCTAATATTTATTTTTTTCTTCATGGTCTTAACATTTTTATAGTGTTTCATATGAAGTATCTAGTAGCTCATTTTAAAATAGTCTACATTTTATTTATTCTGTAACTGATGTACTATCATATTTGAAAAATGGAGGAATAGTTTTATTAATTTGGTTGCTCTGGGCTGGAGATTATGTCTCCAAACATTGGTCATGCTAGATTCTTAATGTCTTTTTATTTTTATATGAATTCATTATTTATAACATCTATCAAAATTGTCTTTATTCTATGGATAAATGACACTATTCCTTAGCTGTCTTTTCTCTAAGTTCTTCAATGGGCAAATTGAAGATCTTAGAGAAAAGACAGCTAAGGAATAGTGTCATTTATCCATAGAATAAAGACAATTTTGATAGATATTATAAATAATGATTCATATAAAAATATAAAGAGGGCCATTTGAAGATGTTTTCTTGTGCTTTATTAGGCTCATGCAGTGCTCCCCATATATTGTTGACAGGGGACAACAGAATGGTGGATGCAATCAGGTAACTGAATATCTGCCCCTTTTGATGTCTGTGCAATGTGTGAACATACCTTAAAAGGGAGCTGAGCTTCAGTCACCTGGTCACACCTGCTTTTGATCACTCTTGTGGATGCTTCTATATATACACATTGCTTCTTTTTCAGTTAAGCAGTGATCATTGCAACCCTGAAGTTTTGTGATTTGGCTTCTTTAATTTCTTAAAGCAATTAGTTAAAAAAAAACACCCTAGTGAAATAACGCCACTGTCCACAATTCAGTGTTTTACGTAAAAATGTACCTTAAAGCAGAGATTTGTACAATTTGTAACTTTCAGATGCTTCCAGACGCCCCATTTGATCAATAGGGAAATTGGGAGTTATAGTTCAACATCATCTGAAGACCACAGATTCATCATTCTTGGCTGAGACTGACATCCTATTTAGACCTACTTAGAAATAAGTCTCCTTGAAATCAGTGGTGCATGTCATATAAGTAACTTATAGGGCTGCATTCTTATTAGTATTTTGCAACTTCATTTTATTGTAAAACAAATATTTGGTATGTGTTTTACCTATACTTTTTGCAATCTGTTTTCTTCCCCAAAACCAGGATATTTTTAAAAAAAAGTCCAGTATAGTTCCCTGTTCAAAATATAGATCAGCTATTTCTTCCTTAGTTCTTCTTTTAAACAAAACAGAGCTGCAACAGGACATTGCTCATTGGTTATCACAGAGCTGATAATCTAAATCTGTTTCATTTGTCTCATCTATGTTCCAGGCAGAATGTAAATTTTGTAGATATAATACATCTCAAGTCATTCCACTCTTCTTAATAATTTATATCAGGATGGTATATACAAGTACAGTACTGTCAACTTTTCAGAGAGACATGCAGTATATACAGATGTTACTTTATGCCATGCTCCTTGGGTATGAGGTTTACATTACTTCCCTCCCCTGAAGGTCTACAAAGATCTGGCTATATAGGACTGATGATTCCCAATAGGGATAAAAGAGGTCACATACTGCCACCAGATGAAGATATTGGTTTTCCTGTTACTTTCTCTTAATGTGATAATATATGTGATAATAGATAATCAGAGTTGGAAGGGAGCTTATAGTCATCTAGTCCAACCCCCCCCCCCCCCCCCCCGCAGGAGACCTTACAGCATTTCTGACAAATGACAGTCCAATCTCTTCTTGAAAGTCTCAAGTGATGATGCTCCCACAACTTCCGAGGCCAAGGTGTTCCATTGGTTGATTGTTCTCACTGTCAGAAAGTTTCTCCTTATTTCCAGGTTGAATCTCTCCTTGTTCAGTTTCCATCCAGTATTCCTTGTCTGGCCTACAGACACTTTAGAAAATAGCTTGACCCCTTCCTCTCTGTGACAGCCCCTCAAATATTGGAAGACTGCTATCATGTCTCCCCTGGTCCTTCTCTTCACTAGACTAGCCAGGCCCAGTTTCTGCAACCTTTCTTCATATGTCTTAGTCTCCAGTCCCCTAATCATCCTGGTTGCTCTTCTCTGCACTTTTTCTAGAGTCTCAACATCTTTTTTATAATGTGGTGACCAAAACTGGATGCAGTACTCTAGGTGTGGTCTTACTAAGGGTTTATAGAGTGGTATTAGTACTTCACTTGATCTTGATTGTATCCCTCTGTTAATACAATTTAGGATTGCATTAGCTTTTTTGGCTGCTGCATACTGCTGGCTCATATTTAGCTGGTTGTCCACTAAGACTCCAAGATCCCTCTCACAGTTACTGCTATTGAGCCTGGTTTCACCCAGTCTATATGTGTACTTTTGGTTTTTCTTGCCTAAGTGTAGGACTTTACTTTTCTCTACATTGAATTTCATTTTGTTAGATACGGCCCAGTGTTCTAGTCTGTCAAGATCCATCTGAATCTTGAACCTATCTTCTTGGGTGTTAGCTATTCCTGCCAACTTAGTATCATCTGCAAATTTGGTAAGTTTCCCTTCTATTCCCTCATCTAGGTCGTTAATGAAGATATTGAAGAGTACTGGGCCTAAGACAGAACCTTGTGGCACCCCACTGCTTACTTCCCTCCATGTAGACTTAGACCTATTAAGGACTACTCGTTGGATGTGGTTTGTCAGCCAGTTACGAATCTCCACTTTTTTCTAGCTTACTAAGAAGTAGGTTGTGGTCTACTTTGTCGAATGCCTTGCTGACATCTAAATATATTATGTCCACAGGATTTTGCTGGTCTACTAATTTAGTCACTATGTTGAAGAATGAAATAAGATTGGTTTGGCATGATCTGTTTTAACAAATCCGTGCTGACTGCTAGTTATTATTTTAATTGTTTCTTGATGTTGGCAGATTTTTTTTATTATCTTTTCTTTCTTTCTTTTTTTTAAAACAAATTTTATTAATTTTAAAGACAAACAAACCATCATTAACCATTAAGTACACAAACCTTTTTCCATTATAAATTTTACAAGTCAAATAAAACATTATTTAATACAACATAATTCTATTTTAGACCATTTCCATATGAACATACAAATATCTCTTATCAAATTTCAAGGTATTTCTCTTTACTCTTATTCAATTTCATTATTATTATTATTTTTCTCTATATTTATCCAGTTTATAATTATCATCTATTTCTCTCTGACTTGATTACCATTATTCTCATCCTACATTCCTGCAAGGTTTTATTAATTCTCCCACATGCATAAACACACAAAACACAAAAATATAAGACATCTTTTAGGAAAGTAACTTGGCCCCAGATACCTCTCTCTATATGGACTTTAATTAAGTTCATGCTCATCTTACATGCCATTACCTATTTTATTTACCATTCTATATCTTCTATATTAATTTCTCCACACATTTCACTCTTCTTGATTCTATCTTATTTAATTCATTTTAATTTAAGTCATTATATTTGTATCTTTTGTCCATTTTTTATTATCCATTTGTCTCATTCCCTATAGTAAAAAGGAAAAAGAATTTCTCCTGAAATCACTAATCAGAGTATGATGCCTTTCTATCATCACCCTAAATTAACATTTAATATAACACCTAATACCCAATCTGATTCTGCTTGGTACATTCTATCTACTAACTTTTAAAAAGAAAAATAATAAATCCAAAATGATTAAATACATAGTTAAATAATAAATCTAAATATTGAATCTTATAACATTCCAATTATCTTTTCCAAAAACAAATGCTACAATAATAAGTTTATAATAGCATCAACACCATAGTCAATTAGACTCTTTAATTAAACTCAATATTCTAAACATTCCCTTTAATATTTTATTAGGTTTTAAAATCAATCATTACTAAACATTTCAATATTTTAATCTCTTATTAATTCTTATAACATTCTAATTTTCTATTTCTAATACAAATGCTACAGTACCATCTTATGTACCTTGCAGAATCTTTTTTAAAGAAATTATACATTACCCTTTGTCCCTAAAAAAAATTCCTCTTTTCCCATCTTGTTTCAAAGCTTTGTGGCTTTTTTTCTGCCTTCTCCCTTCCTTTCTTCTCCCACCAGGCCTTCTTACA